CCTGGGCCCCCACCCCATGTTAGCCGGGCTTGGTCAGTACCTGGGCCCCCACCCCATGTTAGCCGGGCTTGGTCAGTGCCTGGCCCCCAGCCCCACTCCGGGCTGGAACAAGTCAAGCCACAGTCTCAGTTCCACATTGCTTTTTTATTATAACCATTTTGAGTGGGGTCACTTTGCCAAAAGGACAAATCATTTAAGTCAGTATGAGTTATCCCTTTAGTGCTCAGCGGTACATACAGCGACCATGAACTTTGTCAGCCTCTGGGGTTTATTAGGAAGCTGCTCTACCACTGACAGTGCATGCTGCCTCTTGGCAGGGGCTTTCTGACTGTTTGAAACTGAGGAAACGAGCGTGTACCGCCAATTGCTGTTTTTATAGGGTACTGTATGAGGTGTCTGAATTTTTGGTAGGAAAAATAGAAATTTTGCAAATTTTTATTTGTTACACATATGTACCAATAGACCCCAGCAGGGAACTCAGGGGTATAATTACTGGTAGGTCATATGTACCACTAAACACTTAGGGTAGGCTTGCGGGAGGGGGCAAGAAAAAAAAAACCCATCGGACCTACCAAAAATTCAGACACACTCAATGATTCAGCATGCATCCATTAATGAAAACACATGGTATCAACAAAAAATTCAAAGCAGAAAATAACTGGGTCACTAAAGGGTTTAAAGCATAAAACTGGATGAGAAAAAAACAATAGGATATAAATGGCACAACTGAGTATTGCATATAAATCAGATGAATTGTGCCATTATGAGAACAACTGTATGGCAACTTTTACATCAAAGTGGTCTCAAGCTGTTTACATGAACTTTGTATTTCTTTCTAACACTATAAAAACAGAACTCGTGAAGGTAACACTGTGAGAGTGGCTCTGGCCCGTGAGGACAAAGCCCAGCGTGCCAGCTACTGTCCTCTGTATCCTGGCCCCCTCGCCCCTCGTTCCCGTGGAGCCCCTCCTCAGCCTCCCCAGCCCCCTGCTCTGGACACACGGGAGCAGGAGGGACGGAGCCACGCAGTATGCAGGGACATGGGCCTCCCTACACTCCTGTTCTGTAATGACCTCTGGGGGTAGTTTCTTAAAAAACAAAAATAATAAATGCGGGTCAGCTTGGACCGGTTATCCCTTGGAGACAGCATCTCTCTGACAAAGCATTCGCTGATGGCCAGCGATCAAGCCTCACATCCGCAGCTTCCTTAGTACAGCCTGGACGGTACGATGTGCAAGATTCAATTTAGTTGTATGAAGATAAGGCAAATCACAGGGAGGCCCTGGTTTATTTTTAGAGTCATATTTATTCTTCAGTGATATTATTGTTTACCATATTGCAGTTAGCACTGAACATTAGAAGGAGGTCATTTTGCGAGATTAGTCCAGTATAATCAGATGTTTAAAGTGTTAAATGACCCCTTGGCATATACATAAGGTAAGGCAAAGTAATTATGCCTATTTTCTTTCTCTAGTCTGTAACTTCTGTATGTAATGTACAGAGATAAATTTTAGCTCAGATTTCCAATCTGATCCAAGAGGAATGCATGAAACACATGTATTAAAAAAAGATGACAATGAGAATTACTCTAAGCTTCACTCGTATAAAATGTATTTAACTGTCAATAATCAAACCAGAGGAGGGTTCCACTGATTACCACATTTGTTAGAGAAAAACAAAAAGGTTTCATATATTCAGGATTTAAAAAAATGTGCAATTAAACAAAAGTACCTGATAAAATAATAAAAAGGAACAGATATTCTTTAATGGCACTGTAACTAGTAAAAATGCAAACAATGCTAAACTATGAAGAATAAAAAATAGTCACTTAAAAAAAGGAAGACAGTAATCTAATTCTCTAACTCCATGGACCTATGGAAACTAGGGTTGGCACTGCCGTGCCTCATGTCCCTCGTGCGTTTCTCTTCTTGCAGGACGAGAGGACTGTGGGGGCAAGGAGCAGCCCCTCTGAGTGAGCCCGTCGGCTCTCACGTGGTACCAAGGCAGCCACATGAGCGGAGAAGCCCCGCTCCAGTGTGCAGTCGGGGCAGGAAGAAGTGTCTAGTGACCACTGAACACCCAGCCAACTGAAGGAACCAGCTCAGCTTCCTGGGTGGGTGAGCACCCAGTGGCCTCTTGGGTGGCCGGTGACACTCGGCTTTTATGACAGTTGCTCTCAAGGCAAAGGAAAAGCTGCAGGTGAGCAGCTGACAGTCGCCAAGCTGCCGGGGGACAGCTAGCCCTGAGGCCCTTCTCAGTCCCCATCCTAGAGCCGGTGGGACAGCACCACACTTCTCACCTCAGAACTGGAAACACTTTCACAGCATATCCTTTGTAAGAAAGTCACTGACGCAGCCACTGCTTAGCTGCAAGGTCACTCGCTGTACAGGGACCCTGGGGGCCTAGAGTGCCATCCTGGGGACATGTACTTGGCAACAACCTGCTCCGAGATCCCCCCCACAGAGGTGCTGAGGAGACCACTCAAGAGCCAGAAGGCTTCGTCAGCAAATCTGCCGAGCAACTGTGGACGACCAACAACCATTATCTCGGCAAAAAGAGAGCTACCACCCACCTTCCGCTGAATGTGTCAGGAGATCTCCCTGCTAGTTTCAGAACAAATCCTAGGGCTAATTAGAACCCTCTCTGCAGTGGATGACTCGCCAGTCGTCACTGTTTTCCTGGAGAGCAAGTGGCAGACGTGTCATTATCACATCTGGCTACAGGGAAATGCATGGGTAGCAGTGGGAGGGATGCAAACGGCATCTATTCCTTCACACTAAGTTTTTCACTTGTCACCATGAAGGTTTCCACTGCTGGGGGCCTCGCCATCCTCTGAGGAGAGGCCCAAGGAGCCAGTCGCCCTGAGCGAGGCTGCTCTCTCCTGACGCTGAAATGGGGCAGTGTGTCTAACAGCACTGCCTATCCCTTCCCATTAAGATGCCTGCTCAGGCAAAGGAGAGAAACGGCCCATCTGATACTCGGTGCCCATCCTGGTTTCCTAAGCTGCAATGAGGACCAGGAAGGCCCAGGCATGCAGACCTGCTCCTGCTCTGCCCTGGGACGCCGTCCCGGCTGAGCACTGTCCTGCAGCCCCCACACTCAGCTCCCGGCAGCAGGAGGGGCTGTGCAGAAATCCTGCATCCTCATGGCATCTAAAATGTTCTCCAGGAAGCCCTGCTCCTCACAGAAAGGGCTCCAGGTCTAACTCCCTGTTACTGCTCCCTTGAGACCCACAAGGCTTCTGAATCTGGGTGAGAATGAGCTCGGCTTTCCCCCTTGACTCCTCAGTTGACGGGTGAATACAGCCTTGAAACTAGAAAACATTATCAGAAAACTGACTGTCTGAAAGATGTGCATCCCAAAAAGTCAGGCACACATTTTCCAACTGAAGGAATAGTAACACTCTAGCAACTTCTGAAATCAGTGCAACAAGGACTGGCTTAAAAGTGACCTTTGTTTTCTGGCTGTGAAAGATTCTAAAAGGTAAAATGCAATTGTTTAAGGAGGGACAGGGACCGTCTGAGGTTTAGAAATGTATTCTTCAACAAATCAAAAAAATTCAACACGACCTCACACCTAAATATGATTCCTAAGTTTAGACCCTGTTTCAAAAGATCATTATAACTTTCTGATGAGTCAGTAACAGGATTTCCCAGCCCTGGCACCCACTAGTTCTCGTTCATTCTCCTGCATTTGGCTCTGTTGTATGGCTTTCCACGCTAGGAATGAAGTAGACTGAGTCACAGATTTCCACAGAGGAAGTTTTCTTGATATCAACCAGTTCTTCCTATGCCTGATGCTCTGATAGGGAGATACGAAACCAACTCTTCCTCCTTCTTGTAAATATAACTGAGGAGGTCGCCACTCCTTAGCTGGGAAAGAGAGAACAAAGGAAAAGTGACTCTAATTGTGGTTTGATCTTTTCTGACAGTGAATGTGAGCTGGGTATTAACCCAGCTCTAGCTCAGTGCTGGGGTGGGCTGGGGGGTGAGTGAGGGCCCCGAGAGGCTGTCTGAATTTTCAGGAACATGTCTGTGTGTTGTGGCCACATTTGCTTCATTTGGATTTCTCTAAGGGTTCCAATGGGCTGCACCAATGCCAAATGAATGCTGGGAAAGAAGCGTTGGTTTCAAAGAGATCTCCACTGGAGGAGCCTCAGCCGGCCTCAGGGCCTGAGGGGGCGGCTGGGTCCCCACAAGACAGGACCAGGCACTAGAACCGGGCACTGCAGTCAGATGTCCAGGGGGCTCACAATGGTGAAGCCCGAGTCCTTGCTGTGGTTGCTGCTGTCATCGTCGGGGCTGGAGCTTGGATTGCTGGAGGAGGCTGAAGCTGGGCCTGTCAGGGGGTCAGAGAACACAAGGGGGGAGCGGGCCAAGGCCTCACTTTTCCTGGCTGTAATTCTGAGGGTGCGAAGAGGCTGGGCCTGGCCCGAGAAGGCCCCCCTGGCACTGCCACTGTCGTCTTCTTTGGAGACCAGGATGAAGTCGTCTGAACTCCCTCCATCTGTGCGCCCTGGCGTTTCTGAGGAGGCCTGTGAAGTACAGTCAGGAGGACAGGTGGATGAGAGGAAACTGGCAAAGTCAGAGAGGAGGGCCTATGACTGGGGACGCCCCATGGAGAGCGGGGCCACTTCGCCCTGCGCTCTGCCGTGGACAGATGCGGTGTCTGGCCCTGCTACCCTGATGTCCTGGTGCTTCCCAGTGTGCAGGACCAGCAGCAACGTGTTGAGCCCCTCTGAGGAGGAATGCTTTCCCGAATGCAGGGAAAGATAAGCTGCCCAAAGAGGCAGCGTTTGTGCTGCAGGGGAGAGCCTGGGCTCAGGGTGGAATCTCTACTAGCCTTGCAGGGGACCCCGCATGCAAACTGTCCACTCTCCTTGAGCTTTAATTCTCCCATCTGTAAAACAGGGATGATGACAGCGCCTCCCTCTGGGGGTGAGGTTAGGATGCCGTGCGTGACCTGCGTGCATGTGAATCCCTAGCGTGAGCTCCAGACCCAGAGTGATTTTACCACCTGCTTAAAGGAGAGCTTTCCAAGGGCCTAGCACGTTTCATCTCACACTCCTCTAACACCAACATAGGGTCCCTGGACTGGAATGCTACTTAATAGGACTTATCTTGGGTTGACAATAAAAGAGCCCACAGATTGGATTCCATTCTTGGAGTGGTGTCTCTAATACAGCTACCATGCTAACCTATTCTCCTTCAGCTTATAGTGAAGACATTAGCAAGACTTTGAAGACGTTCTTGATGGGAGAGCGTGTTGGCAGAAGGACCATGAGCCACCTGCCCCACGGCAGGTTGAGTCTGGTCCTTCTGCACTGTCCTTTAGACATCCTTGGGTAATTAACCAAGAAAGCAAAGAGAATCCATTCCTAACTTAGCAATGAACCGTGGCACAAAGGGGCCTTTGACGGACCCAATATGTGGTGATTACATCTCTAGAAAATGTCACAAAAGCCTGCCTAGCACTGTCTCCACCCCTAGCCTAACACCAGCCCTCATCCCCCACCATAACTGGGAGCTCACGATCCCAGGAGCTACATCCACAGCCCTGGACACCCACAGCACCTGGCACGGCAGACCCTTACAGCAATCTGGAAGGAAGGAGTGAAAATGCCTTCAAACTCTTGCTTGGCATGCTTGGGATGCATGTTCCTGGCTCTAGCGTGCCCGTGAGCAGTGTGAAAGAAAACTCAGCTAGCTCCAAGCCCTGATGGCTGCTCTAAGGCTTGAGACACAGGTCCCTGCAGGAAGAAGGAGGGCCAAGGCTCCCTGTCTGGTAGGCCCCTGGCCCCTTGTTCAGATCTCGGGTCCCAGCAGCGGAAGGCCTCAGACACTTAGCTTGTCTGTGTGACTTGCTGGCTTGCATCCGGGATTTCTCTCACCTTTCCACCCTTGAAGGACATAGGACCGCCTGCCCATTTCTCCCTTCCTCAGAGAAAACAACCTTCTTCAGGAGTGTTTTTTTTTAAACTGCTAACAACCATGGGGAAGGGGCCATGGCAGGGACTGGGTAGACAGAAGCCCTTCCGTTTTCTCTTTCCCCCTTTGTCCTGAGGAAGAAGCTGGAAGCAGAGAAGGCAATGGTGAGGGCCCAGGAAGGGCTGGCTGTTTCAGAAGCACGCGCAGAGGCGGAGGGTCTCTCAGGTCCTGCACGGGAGTCGGCCCTGGAGTGCGAGGGCCTAGTGTCTTTCACCCTGTACACACCTCATAGCCAACTCACTGAGTCTGCACGTGGGGGCCCCTGGGGCAGTCGTGGTAACCAGTAGGGTCTACAAATATGAAAATCAGGAATGGTAATTGTAAAGAATAATCAAGAAGCTTTAAAGTTAGCAAACTGATTGGTATTTTGGAAAGGTCTTTTTTCTGTAATGTTTTTATACATTCAACTAAAAACCACACTAACTGTTTAAACAAAATTGCTAATTAAAAATGGAAACTCACGTGGGTAGCTAGGCCTGTGCTCAACAATATTTGAATAAATAAATGATTATTGAAAAATAACATATCTGTGAAGGCATGGAGAATTTGGAGGAATCAATCAAATCGAAATTGCAACGTCAGGTTGCAGTCATGTGGCCAAAAATGCAGCCTCAAAGCATTTCATGACAGCTCCCTTTTAGAGCTAGATGAAACAAACCAGAGTTCTCTTCTTGAAGCGCATCCTTGAAATGGAAAAAAACCCCAAACTAGCACGTCACTTTGCTATTTTAAAATCATAAAAAATAAATAATTTACAAGCATCTGGATGTTAGTTTTTGAGAAAATGACTTAGATAAGATTTTGTTAATGTTCATTTTTCAAGATGAAACTTTGTAAGCTGATTTTATTTTTAGTATTATTAGGAATTAAACAGAAACAATCTTTCAGTCTTATCAGATAAAAACAGAGAGGCAGCATGGTGTACCTGGAAGCTTACTTATTGGATTGAGGCAGGGGGTTCTGGAAACATAATGCCTGGCCAGCTGGGTGCCCTCTGCCTGGCAAGCCCAAACACCTCTCGGGCTGTAGTTTTGTTACCAGTAGGTAAAAGGAGTAGACAGGGTTAAGCACACAGGGAATTGTTTAGATCCTTTCTAGCTGGAAAATTCTGTGATTCTATGTTAGAGTAAATTATACACAATGTCAACACCTGAGGGCAGGAGTCGGCAAACTAAGGCCCATGGGCTACATCTGGCCTGTGGACTGTTTTTGTATGACCCTCAAGCCTGGAATGGTTTTTACGTATTTAAAATATTGTAACAAACCAACCAACCAACCAACAAGAATATGTGACGAAGACTGTATGTGGTCCACAAAATGGAAAACATTTACTATCTGGCCCTTTACAGAAAAGTGTGCTGACCTCTGTCTTAGATGGATGGACATTAATGAGAAGTCTTTCCCCATGAATATGTTGGTAAAAAGGTTCTAGCCAAGTGAAATACACTCAAGACAGCATTAGGAAGGTACTGATCATACCTCCTGTGATAAAAGGGAATGGAGGACATCAGCTGGAGGCAACTCACCAATAACTAAGGCAGAGACCTGGCTTTCCAACCTGCAGAACAGTTGTGGCTGCTGCATACAGGTGTGGCGTTCTAGAAGCTAGTCTCATTATTATCATTGTGAATGGCGCCCCCTAGGGCACTGGAGTGTACAGCCTACACAGTTGGATAGTTGTCCCTCTGAATCCGGGCGGGATTGGTTCCAGGATCCCTCCATGGATACCAAAATCCACGGATGCTCAAGTCCCTTATATAAAATGACACAGCATTTGCATATAACCTACGCACATCCTCTCGTATACTTTAAATCATCTCTAGATTACTTACGATACCTAATACAATGTAAATGCTACGTAAATAGTTGTTATACTACATTGTTTAGGGAATAATGACAAAATGCAAGGCGAACAATGCTCAAACAACAAGTTCTGGAGACAGAGTGATGGTCTGTGAAATGGTGGGAGGCTACAGCAGGGGATGCCTACACATTTCATTCACGTGGATTCAGTGTGCTAGATGCACATCAAATTCAAGTTTTGCTTTTTGGAACTTTTCTCCCTCCCGGAATATTTTCAATCTGTGGTTGGCTGAATCTGTGGAAGAGGAACCCATGGATATGGAGGGTTGACTGTAGAGAGAAGCCCTTGCTTAGGCCCCTTGTAGTATTTCACAGGTGAACTTCACACATGGTACCTTGAAATAACTTTGATAGCTCTTGAGTACTCACAAGTTGGAAGCATTTATGTGAACATACCCTACTGAGTTAATGTGATAATGCCCACTACAGCTCCTGTACCTGCTTGGCAGCCCCGGCCGGCAGCCTGCCCTGGCCCTGGCCCCGACCACTGGAGCAGTAGTGGTCGTCTGTGATGTTGATCTGCTCATTCTCCTCGGCCTCCAGCTGGCTCTGGTTGAAACGCAGGGAACCTTTTAGAATGTCTTTGATCTATTTTCAAAGAGGAAGAAAATAAAAAGATGAATGAGTTTGTTTTTAAATAATAGCTAAATCTCTAATACATTTAAACTGGGGTTGTCACAGACCATTTTTTCAATAGTATGGAAATGATCATATTACCATAAAAAAGAAATAACAAAAAGAATCCAACTCTATCAAAGCCAGCGACTTAGCAATGACAAGGACAATTTCAGAGTGTTAATGGCCAGGTCCTCACAAGGTCAGACAGGAGCGCCACATCTTGGCAGCTATCTTCAGGCAGGAGGCACCATTTGCTTGTACACCCAGCCCCACTGAAATGGTTGTACCCTTAGCTGGAGCTGTTACTAACACAGGTAGACAACTGGGCCCAGCATACCATTTTTCATTGACATTTATGTCCCATTTAGCTCTTCAAGAGGTGAGTAAATGGGGCCTTGAGGGTCTGAGGCCTGCTGTCGGTAGTGGTTATGATTTGTGCTCCAGGACATTCCTGCATTTGTGGACTGAATGACTGACCACAATGCTGGGCCACGCCGCAGCAGCTGTGGGTGAGGAACAAGCAGAATGGGTTTGGTAAGAGAGATGGGCAAGGGAGGCGGGGAAGCCAGTCTGGGCTGCAAGCTAGTCAGACACAATTGCTCGAAGGAGCAGAGAGTAGGAGGAGATAGAGATTTAAGAGGCACTCTGTCTGGGAAGGAATGAGGGGCAGGGGGACAATGGCTCCAGCACTAGGGTGCTCCATGCCCTGGAATGCCCTTCCCCAGCAGGCACCAAATGAGTGGCCTGTGGGACACAAAGAACCAGTTGTATCAATGCACATACCTGCTTTAATCCTGCCAGGGAAACCAGAATTTGATCTTCTTTTTCCAAATTTTCTTGTACTATCATATCTTGAATATTTACTGAAAAGAGAAGAAAGATAGTCTATAACTAATGTTCTGGGTATAACTTACCTGCTGCCACACCAAACTTCAGACAAGAATGCTCTGCTGAAGTGCAGCCGGGGAAACCGAGCCAGGACTGGCGCAGACCCAGCTCCTGTGCCGTGAACTCGTGGAGTCGTGTAGTGTCTCATGAGAAGTACTCAAAGCTTTGCTGAGAAAATAGACATATGACTATATTTGAAAGGAAAAAAATAAAAAGGTTGCCCAGAGAGGGCAGTACTGAGCCTGGTACGCACAGCATTCCCTCCAACATCACAGAAGTGTGTTATTTTAATGACAGATGTGTCTTCACTCCCATGGAGAAGCCAGCATTCCTCTTGTGACATATGATGTGGTCAACAGACTGGACCATCCATCTAATCTCTAGAGGAAGCCTTTTCAGCCGGGGCTCCTACACTGCCTCATAGTTCAATGGTGTTAGCTCACCTCTCTCTCTAAAAATCAATTCCTCCTAGGTGACCGAAATTAATAAAGAAGCTGTCTTCAAGGAATTATTAACGGCAAGATACGCTGGCATTTCAACATAACAGTGACAATAAAAAGATACACGGGTGGCACTCACGCTGTCATTCGATTACGGCGCCTGAGAACCAGGGTCTTCACAGGAGCAGTTTCTATGTGTACCCACGTGACACGCCCCTCCTCTAGCCCTGATCTGAGGGATCCTCCACACCAGCTGCCGAGCGGCTCACCAATACGCCATACACGCCGTGGTCCCCGCCTTCTCCCCCCACCCACCTGAGGGGTGCATACAGTCCTGTCAGTGACTGGGCTTACTGACGCAGGGGCTCTCAGAAGGAGTGCCAGGGGGAGCGGAGAAGGACAGAAGGCCCACCCCCTGGGGATGCACCAGAGAGTGGGTGGGGGGGACAACTAAAACACATTTAAAAAAAGATACTGATATGCTCCCCATCTTTAAAATCACAATAAATAAGTTCATCATCCATTACCATCTTCTGATTTCTTATTTTCTGGGGCCATAAAAAGGCCCCATTTATAATGTCTTACATTGCATATTCCTGGTCAGACTTTACGTACTCCACAAGTATTTCCTGAGCGTCGTCAACTCTGTGACAGGCACAGCCATGAACAAAGCAGAGACGGTCCTGCCCCTGTGGCACTTCCTCATGGCAAGAGGATGGCCATGTGATGGCTCATGCACTGGTGGGAGGTGGGCTCTAAGCTGGTTCAGACCCCACAAAGCAGGCAGTGGGCACCCGCCCCTGACTGGGCCTGAACACCCCATGCGGGGAACGACGGAGGAAATACCTGGAGGCTGAGCATAGAAAGGGGGTTTCTGCCCCTCAGAGGAAGCCCTGACCTGCATGTCCCCATCTAGTCTGGGGAAAGGGCCTCCTGAGAGCCATGTCCCTCTTTCACTGGCCTTAGAAAGAGCCACAGCCTGGAGAGAAGGTGCTGATGTCTCTGGTGGCAGCTGTGGGACCTGTCTGGCTCCACATCCTCTCTTCACCACTGAGTGCCCTTCTCAGCACGACCACCTCAAATGTTTTCCAGAGCTTTGTCTCATCCGACTCCTGGTCCCCAACCCCGGCCCACAAAATCAGAATGTTTGGGAGGCAGAGCCTAGGAATCTGCATGCCCTTCAGATGTCTACAGTGCCCACTCAGGTTTGGGAGGGGCTTTGTTCTGCGAGAGTCCCTGGGTACTGCAATCAATTAATGCACTGCTAAAGAAAATGGTGGTGGTTCCAGTCCACCCAGAGGTGGCTTGGAAGAAAGGCCTGGCAATTTTATTCCAAAAAATCAGCCACTGAAAACCCTGTGGAACATAGCTCTACTTGGATTCACAAAGGATTCCTGTGAGTTGAAATCAGCTCGATGGCAACTGGTTTTATTCTGAGGTGTGACTCCTCCTGTCAGCTGCCCCCACTCCAGCACTGCCACTGGCTCAAACAGCTAATTAGAAAGGCACACCTTTCTCAAAATACTTTATTTCCACGTTTGAAAACTGACATGACATACTGATTTTTTTTTTTGGGGGGGGGTGTAATTTGAGACTTCACTGACATCTGCCAGAGAACTGTCCTAAGAAACATGTACATCTACAATGTCTGCAATATGAACGGTACATTATGGGTGAGATGCGACACCACTGCACAGTACATGACCTTCACAGGTGTAAGCTGCAGCCTCTGATACGGTGTTTTGAAGATTCAGTGCATAAATGTTTGTGAAAAGCTGAAGACAGTGGAGGGGGTGTGGTGAGTACTCAACAGACATCAGATATTATTTCAAAGACAAATGCAACACTGACTAAAGAGGCTCTAAATGAATTAATGTGTGTTTTTCCAACAATTTTATCATGAACATTTTCAAACATACAGAAAAGCTGAAAGAATTTCACAGGGAGCACCCACATTCCTCACACCTAGCACATTAACCTCTGCTGTCCCTGTTGATCATGTCTGTCCATCTCATTTTTTGATGCATTTCAAGCAAAGTTGAAAATATCAGTAGACTTCATCCCTAAACACTTTAATAAGTATTTTTAAAACTATAGTTCTTTGTATTTCTAGTCTTTGGCATCATCATAATGTAACTGTACCACTCTCCCCTTCTCACACGACATCGTGCCACTGAGAGTAAGCGACACATGGAGAAAGATAAACTGTCCACCAGTAAGTGTGGAGGGAGCACCAGTCAGGGGCCACCAGGAAACAGATGGCCACTCACCCTGAGTCATCTGGGGCGAGTTTGGCCTGAGGACTGAACTGCTCAAAGCCCCTTTCTGCAGGGTAAGGGGAGATCACAAGACACAGTGCCAGGTGTGGGGCTGCCAAAGGCTGGGAAGGGGCAGGGAGGAAGTGGTTTCAGCACCCAGAGAGGAAGACAGAGGGAAGGAGTGGCCTGCAGAAACGCTGGCTTTTGGAGGAGGGAAACAGCCAGTCCATGGCTACCCAGCAGGGAGGGAGCCAGGGCATCAGGACCCTCCCTCCCTCCCGCCAGTCTCATGAACTGAGTGGAAGCAGGGGACACAGGGAGCTATTGATGCAGTCCTGAGCGGCCAGCATCCTCATGCACAAAGAAGAGCAGCAAAGGAGAAGACTGGCTCTGGGTGGGGCAGAGGGAAGACTTCCAGCACAGACAGCACCCTGAGATCCAGGGCAAGGACACCACAAGAAGGCCATGTCTGGGCAAAGATGGCCTCTGGAAAGTGACTTCTCTTTGGACCACTTCCAAAGTAGCCACCGTGAGAGAGAAGCTAGCTTTGTTTGGCTACCTGAGTGACAAAAGAAGATTCAAAGGCCAGGAACAATGAGCCACAAACCTGATTAAGATCCCTTGGGGAGCTGGGCCTCCAGGGCACTAAATACAGGCAAAATCAGCCACAGTTCTCTCAAACACTAGAAGACAGAGAACTGGCATCTCCTCACTGCTTCACTCTGCCTTCTCCAGATTATCAAGGACTGTCTGAGAAAGCCTGGCCTCGTGATGATGACCAAGTTTCACAACAGGAAGTGTGGGCCCTGGCTCCGACTTCTCCTCACCCTGCTCCTCATGCTCCGTCTGCACTTTGGGGCCTGCGTGGGCCCCGGCCCCGACCTCTCCTCACTCTGCTCCTCATGCTCCATCTGCACTTTGGG